TGCAACTTCAACATCAGAAACTAAGCATCAGTATTCACAACATAATTCAAAACTACAAACATGAGTGATTAACAGAATCCATGGATGACTTACCATTGAGGACAGAAGCATCCCACTGCATTTTGTACATTATAAGGGAAAGTTTTCAATTAAAAAAAAAAAAGGGAAAAAGAAAAAAACATTTGATCTGGACACTGAGGCTGCTATTTTTCTTACAGCTTCTCTCTGGCACAGCACCGAGTTTTCCACTGTTTTGCATTCATACAGAATTGTAAAAACCCTTAGAGACAGTGCAAGTCAGCCAGTGGTACATGGTGGAATCTAAAGAGAAACTGATTTCAGAAGGATGAGCAGTCTCTGTCTTCACATGGGGACAGAATTTTAACTGCTAACAATAATAAATACAATGAACTCCACTTTCCACTGGTGCCACATTTCAGGTAACACCTTTCCATATTCCCTGTTAAACACAGCATTCCACCAGTATCATTCTCTACTCTCAACAACCCTCCTCCTTTCACTGTGTCCTCACCATCTTTCTAAAAACACTTCAACTTTCTACCTCCTAAATCTGTGCCATGAGTTCTGCCTCTAGCATTTCCTAGACAGCTCGTTGGTGTAGCACACCTCCATCTCCTTTCTCCAACCATTTATTATTCTTTTCAGCCTCTGTCCATCTGTTTTGTCCTTCTGTCTCACATTCATTTTTTGTTCTGTCTTTGGACCACCTTAACATAGTACATCCCTCACTTCTTCTGCCTCTGGCATTTTACTGTCCAGTAACTCCCAGTCACTCCCTGTGTCTTGGACCTCCAACAATGACATCCTCAACTTCTTCATTCTCCTGTCTGCACTGAATCAGAATACTGAGTACCTAAATACATTTCCTTTTGACTTCTCTAATTTAATATTAGTTGGCACAGGCCATTTAGATGATCCTATAAATATGTTTTAAATCTTTATCTTCCATGAGTCAAAATAAAATATGTATCCAGTGCCATAGTCAATATACCAGCACACAAAGTTTATATACTTTCTGACATAATTAAAAAAATTGTTTTCAATTTGTCAGGACAGAATTTAAGTTTAAACTAATTAGACCAAATAACCAAACAGCTATTAATAAGCTGCCAGTGTTTTTGTTCAAATAACTGTTTGGCTGTACTTCTTAAGGATCTAGGCAAAGAAAGTTTAAGTATGGCTAAATATTCAACCTAGTTATTCCTGTCAAATTTTTAGCATTTAAAAATTACC